TAGGGAAAGCAGCCTACATCATACAGTTGGGCAGGAGATTTCTCTTCTATCCCCACGGGCAGAGTTACTCCACTGTCAGACTAGAGGAATAGACGCCTAATACATAATGCCTGATGTGTGTTTGAAAACTGTTGCACCAAAGCCTTGTTTCCCCATAGCAATGATGCTTGATGTTTCAATGTCTCCTCACACTGAAATTCAATTATATTGTTTAAACCTCTACATGAATCAGGTCCTGGAAAAAGAATTTGCCAGTCAGGGTGATGATCGTAGCACTGACATAAGCTGGGAGCTGTGCAAAGTATAGCCACAAAATTTCTCTGCCTCACAAAGCAGCTGAGTTTTTAGCTATTTTCCATTCCACAGTGGGGTAGGATTTCTCATGATATTCATGTGAGAGAGACAGAAAGTTAGTCATAATAACAAGTAGTACTTAAAGTGCTAACCAAGGAAGTGAGAGAACAAGTCCCTGCTCACCCTGATGGGGACGACTATGCAATCAAAGGTGGTCTCTGACTCCAGTGATGCACTAATTATTGGACTATTTGAAGGTCTCCCCCAGTTTCTCATGTATTACAGACACAATCAGTCTGTGACATAATTAGTGGGCAAGGGAGAGCAAAATACTAACTCTGCAGTCCAATAGACTGACACTCATCTGAGCATTGGGGAATCCAGGTGTAAGCTGCTTTGATCAAAACAGGAGTGCCCTGGCTATAGAAAGACTGACTAACCTGAGGTTTCTGTGTGTCATCAGAAAATTTACTTCAAACTGAGAAACACTACACAACTTCATGTTTCACTTGAAATATTTGTTCAAAGTCCAGCTTTTGATCAACTGGCATTTTCCAATGAAACTTTGTATTTTCTGAGAAAATTCTTAGGCAGCTGTAGCTGTCAACACGTCTAAAGTGTGATACTGCCCTCTGATAACTGGCACATATGTACCTCAGCGTATCAATTTCTGCATTTTCATGCAGCCAGAGGAGCAAGCCGATTTCCTTAGCTACTTACCAATACATCTCACATACAAGGATCAAGAACTTTTCTTGAAGTATGGTATGAACTTAGGTCTCCAACACCTCTCTGTCAATGCCATAATTTTTCGATCTCACTCAAATCAGCTAATACTCCCCATGAGAACACAAGACTTGCAAACACATTTGGCTATATGAGTTATGGGCCAATGATTAGAGGCTTCTACTCTCAACATTACATTTGAATAGTCATTTAAATTGACATAAGGAAGCCATTTCTAGGGTTGATCTGTTACTGTTATTATTGCTCCAACTTCTAGTAGAAATTCAAAAGGCTACAGATATAGTCTCAATTTGAAATTTAAGTCCCTTCAGCTCTCTCATATTTTGGTTAAGTGAAATAGCAGACTTCCATTTTAATTGCTGGCTTTTCAGTTTTTGTCTTGAAAAAAAAAGACATAAGCAACAAGTAAGCAAAATTAAAGAAATCAAGAAAAAGGTGTGTTTAAATATAATACACAACCACATGTACTACAATCATTTTCATCCAATGAAAATGCGTTGTTTCCAATGTAACATGCAGCACACACATAAAATTTACATTCTGTAAATGCAGACTTGGCACAATTTTTGAAACCCTGGTCATCTTGCAGGGCCCTACATTTATTTCTGAACTGCTTCACTGGAAAACAGAATTTAGAAACAGCTTGTGGGAGTGGGGAATCTGTTAACAACTCAACAAAAATATTGATCTCCTCATGAAGTTCAGTGGGGAGACCTATAAACTGAGGATCGATGCAGAAATACATTTGCTCCATGAACTGTGCTGTCAGGGAAATGATGTGACAAGGCAAGGTTTGCAATTGCACTGACGAGCGCTGGTTGGGAGGATTCTCCTATCATCTCCAAATCGATTTTGCAAAGGGTTTTGTTTCGGTTTTTTTTTAGCCGAGGCCAACGTGATGCTGTTTGCTGATGTTCCAGTGGGCAGGCACCCTCATACCTGTCCGCAAAGTCCACCTGGGAGGTCTTCATCCTCCCTGGCGAGATGCTGACCAACATCCCTCCGTCCCTCACCCACCCACGGCGGTGGAACCAACCTGAGAGGCTGCCACTCCTTTCGGAGCTGTTGTGGGAGCTGGTGGTGCTGAAATCCTGTGACTGGTTGTGTGGCAATCTATTAGCCAATCCCTCAGCCACGCGGTAGTCGGGGATGTAAAGCAAGGCTAAGGGTTAAAGGGCAAAGGTCACAGTGGCGTCGTGTGATTAGTTGACAGCACAAGCACATGCAACACATGCAGTTAGCAAGTCAACGGCAGATGTGGTGGTGCAGCAAGTTTTAATTTTGTTTTTAAGTGTATGCCTATCCTAGCTTAATGGGAGGCAGGTGGCTTGGTGATGAGCACAGGACAAAGAGGATTAAAAGCACAGAGCAATATATTGTGGGATTGTGTGAGGTTCAGCACGCATGCAAGGTATGTAAGCATTGGTTACAGTAAACAGGGACGGTGTCTCACATACTAAATGATTTTTCTAATTCATGCATAGATGGTACAGTATAAAGCCAAGGGCTCTGGAAAATAAGAGCCGTATTTACCATTGTTGCCTTTGCCTTGGTCTGGGAGAGAGTAACCGAATCCCATCAGGTCATTTTTTTGCTGAATTGAGCTTTTCCATTGGGGATCAGGTAAGTCGACAGCCAACTCATGGATGCTGTTGGAATGCAGTATCTGGGTGGTGGCATATGGCGTGGCTTGCGTTATTTGGCTGGAACTGTTGTAACTAGTTTTTGTGGTGAAGTCAATGCTGCTGTAAATGGCTCCATCGGAAAGCATAGTAGCTGTTTTATCTCCTTGTCCTGGCACTGGTGGCAGCACATCTGTGGTAAACATAGGGGAATGAAACATATCAATGATGCACAGGAAGCCTGAAAGTATCAAGGTTTAAGATGAAAAATAAATGTGTCATTTTGCACGTTTGCATTTCAGCTGAGACAGGTCCATGAGCCAATGAAGGGAAGATGATGTACAACCATCGCCAAGCTATCAGCATCTGTGACAGGCCTACCACTTGTCCTTCACGTCTCACTGCCTAAAACCATCTTTTTTTTTTCCATACCTTCAACTGTGAAAGTGAAGTTTGGAATATTTCTCTACTGAAGAATGTTTTCAATTGTTCACTCTATGTCAGAACCAATGAAACTGTCTGGGCTTCAGGGAAATGATGAAAGGAGTGAATATACAAATCACAGAGGAATCTTTCCCAGCAAATATGTAGCCAAACTCTTAAATGGATGCCAAAGATCTCAAAGTAATTTTTTAAGGGCATCACCTTGACTTCCTTGAAGTTTTTATGCATCAGCTTATCTAACTTCCTTTTTGACATTAGCTTGCACATTACTTCTTCACAACAAAAGAAAAACCTGACAAAACCAAGTTGCTCCTGATATGTGAAAGAAAATCTGTTCTTCTGGAGGGATTTAAGTGATCAATCTCTTAAAATGGCAAAGCAGTGTTGGCAATGGAGAACAACTTGTTCAAATACTCTAGTACATTTACCTGAAAAACAGTACAACATATTTAACCGAATATCTGTTGACTTTTCTACATCTTTTGAATCCTATCACACACTGCAATTTGTACTTTTAATCAGTTAGATTGGCAATCTCTCTCCTTACTAAACATTGTAGTGACCTTTGCTGGCGGAATACTAGATTTAGAAGCTGAGACTACTGAAGTGTGAACAACCTAATGATGACTGGCATGATGTCCCAAGGAGAACCACGGCTCAGCAGATAAGCCTCTTCCTGCTCTGTCAGAGGTCAATGTATCAGATGGTACTATTTTTACAGTTTATTTCTACTCTGAAAAGTTGAGTCCATTCTGGATTTTACTCGTTAAAAAACTGCATCATTTCTATTCCATTTGCTTTATATAGCTGGATGGCAGATATGGATTCCAACTGTTAGATCATACTTGAGATAATGCATACTCCTATAGTGGGGAAGTTCAGATCCTGTGCTAGGTATCACAAACATTTTTATATACCTTAATCCCCAAAGAGAAGAGATGATTCTTGCACCTAGACAAGGGTTTAGATTCAGTTCCAGACCCAGTGCAACCTCAGGGAATATATACCATGGCCTCCTCCCACTGTTTTGGTTTTTTTTTCTCCTGGGATGAACATTTAGACCATAGAACTATTTTCTACTGCATCCATGTGTGCAACAGTGAACATTTTAATATGCACACTAATAACATCTACAGTCTTAGCGCAACAACATAATATTAACAATAAATATGTCGATAACGAGCAGACAGACTGCAGAAACAGAGATTAAATTTGGGTCTATCAGTATGATCTGTTTTTGCAGACAACAACAGGGAAATGGGCACAATCAAGTATTTAAAATACCTTAATTGTATTACCTTACATCAGCAGATAAATTGTAAGTGCAAAAAAAATTACAATTAATGCAAACTACAAGTCAGATTTCAAAATCAGGTTATTACTCTCTATCTGCAGACATCCAATGTGCTTTCTAAGGGCAGTACACAATCATAAAAGTGTCTATGTGCAAATACAGCATGAGATGTGAGAGACAAGCAGAGTCCTATCTTTCTTGCATTTCATCCACAATATGAAGATTTTTCCTTTCATCAAAGTAAAATGGGTTGAAGTTTAGTAAATAAATTCTGTTGTTGATGTATGACGTGAAGCAAGTCCAGCTCAACCTGTCTGTGTTGGATTTGCAGACTCATGGAAGTTAAAACTAGCAAAATGCTCATCTCTCAAGTACTCAGACATACATCTATCTTTTAGAGCACGTTTCTGGCAACTGAAGAGGTATCATCTCTATACAGTCATTTTAAAATGGAGAACTATTCATTTGCACACGCTTGAAAGGAAAGTTGCGTAGTTTCCCACCAGCCAAAAATTTTCAGTCATTCTTACGCTGAGGTTCTCCAGACATTCTGGGAATTTTCAGTACAACCACAGGTTACTTTTTTGACCTCAATGAGATGTACACATTAATCACGCAAAGAGCTATTAAAATGCCATTTTGCAAAGTGCCATAATCACCTGGTAAAAATCAAGTGTGATTTTCCCACCAAGTTGTCATAGCAAAAAAACGCACACTGTACATTTCAGACCAAAGATGAACACACATTTCTCACTGGACACTTTCCCAAAAACTCTCCAAAATCCAACTTTTTTCCTAACTCTTGAGATAAATGAAATAGTGGTGAAGTACTTCTTGAGGGAAGCTCTTTCTTGCTGTCTCAGGAGACGCGGTACCATTTTGTGGCTTTACGTGACTCCAAAGCTAACTTGTGTTTCCCACTTACAGCCTTGCTCTCAACCGCCTTTCTAGGACATAACATGGATTTCATTCTCAAAGGCAATGTTAGAACTGCCTGCCTCAGCTCCTGGGTTTCCAGAGTGATTGATTGCCACCTTACTGTTTTCAAAATTCTTACAGACTTTTTTTGTTATCCCAGACCTTTTAACCTGTAAAAGAGGCCCAAGTTGTCTCTATAGCAGTTAATTCGTGTAAAAAGACATCTGACTTCTAACCCACCTTTAACGCAGAAGCATCCAAACTCAACTGCTGAAACAGCTAGGGATAAGTGGTCTCAAAACAGCCAGAATAGAAGTGTGAGCTCAATTGTAAAGATCAGGGGTGGAATTAAGCTGCTGAAATTCCAAATATAACTGTTGCATCTCTTGGACGAATTTGGGCCTATGCCTCATACACACTGAAGCCAAAAGCTTTAAAATGTGCTTCCAATTTCAATTGTACAGAGCCAAATGCTAAAAGAAAATGGTAATTTTTCTGTATAATGTGAGCTTATGAAAAGACAAAAGTACTGAAGGGTTTTATTTTAAAGATATTCACAACAGAGGAGCTGGCAGATATTCAGTTGTCTTCTAAATATTATCAAAAGTTTTGCTTATTTTATAGTATTTTTGTAAGACAAGAGCTTTACGACTTTTTTATATGGAAAATAAGTCCAGAGTGTTTTATTGTAATTTGAAGTCACAGTAGTCAAACCAGAAGGAATAAGTTTTGCGTGGGAATATAGAACTGATGTGAGGGATGGTTTTGAGAAGCAGATTCTGGTACAGTTCAAAACTGCATTCTTTTCACATTTATCAGTTTGATTGTTTTATAGATTCTTTTGCATTTTAATGTATTTTTGATATATAAAGTTGTCTTGATTTTTGTTTACTTATTTATGTCTTTAAAATATTTATATACTCATTTACATCAGGAAGTCTTGTTCTGAACACCACTATGCAGAACTAGCTGTATTATAACACCACAGAAACCAAGGAAGTAACAGAGAAATGTGAATATTACTATGACTGTCAAAAATCCGAATCACACATCTTGAAATTCCCATTTGAGTAAAATGTTTGAAAGAAAATAACCACTCTAAAGATTCATCACCATAATTACAAATCATTGCCTCATCTCCCCAAAGGTCCTCCCTCGATTCAAAATGGAAATAAAACCCTGAAAAATCTAAATAGTTCCTTTTTATGTATTCTTTCCTTCAATAAGAAGGAAAGTTTCTGAAGACCTTTGAGGCCTTCTTCATGGACTGTGGTTGAGACTGAGAGCACTCTCTCAGCAGGAATGGGCTGGGTAAGCTGGCAGCAACAATGTTCTTCCGTCCTTCTGCTGAAGAAACATCCTTCCTGCATCTCCTGAGCTCTCTGCTCTTATGGACATCATCTATCCCTGGCTACATTGCTCTGCACAGCAGATTGCTCATCTCCACACAAAAGGGAATGAGTTTGAGCAACAAATACATTTCTCTTGAGATTATAAGCAGACCCTGTCACACCCTCACCACTGTGGGGTAAACTACAAACTAGACCTGTATTTTAAAGTAGAAAGAGACAAAGCAAAATGAACATTTTGAAGTCAATTTTAAATCAAATCTTGAGTCAACCATAGAAAGAACTATAACGACAGAAATATTACACAGTGTTTATCATAGATGTTAATTAACAGAAGCCTATTGTATACCACACGGTGACTTAAAATGAAACCTACCTCCACGGCCAAAATTGCCAAGATCATTGGGTCCACTAGTGCTGTTGTTTACTGGCAGACTTGTGGCAGGCCAAGAGTCTGCAAGCCAAGGATAACTGGGGTCACTTGCATTCAACAGACCTGGTCGACTGAAGCAGAATAAGAAAAAAAGATATACATACAAATATATATATATTTACAAAATTAAAATACCTGTGACACAACTAGTGATTGAAGAGACCGTATCACAGCTTTCCTAACACCATACGTAATAGACAGTTTAGGAGACTTTAATTTATTTCAAATTAAAATTGTGTAGCCTTTGATGATTTAAAGACCTAGACCTTGAGCAGTTAATTATGGATATATACAAATCAACTTTGTCAGTAGAAGTGGGACTGGGCATCCGTCGTGATTCTGCCAGAATCCAAATGAACTCCGTTGTCTGTGTGAAACAGGGGTTAGGCAGCACCATCATGGGATCCTATACCAGGGCTGCATGATAAATTACCACCTCAAGGGAGCTATCACTCAAACTGATTGCTCCATATCAGCCATTTCCAGGACTTTGGGCTACTATTTCTTCCTTCCCCTGCATCCCAAATGCACGCCTGTCATCTACAAGCTGGTAACTCTTTCTTTGAGCACTCTTGGATAGTTTAGAGGCAAACAGGTTTGAGTCGGATTAATGGGAAGTCCACAGCTATCCTTATCTGCCACCACTGCATGGCTTTTATATCCCTGTAATTCCCAGCTTTGAGAGCGGTATTAAAGAGCAAGTGTGTTGAAAGAGACGGTACACTCAGGCCCTAGGGCACCGTGTCTCTCTCACCCCAGGATAAACAGCCAGAAATTTAGCAAGGCAGGTGGATTGTTTGTATTTGTATTTAAGAGGGAAAACAAATCATCTCCTGCAGACACCCCCTTCCCCCAAATGAAAACAAAAACCCACCCACAGTTCTGCGAGTTCTCTAGGTTATTAATGCACTCATGAAGTTGGAGCAACATCTCTGATCATTGTACGTTATAGACCCCCGTCTGGCACAATCCCTAAGAGAAACATCGGTTTCTATGGAAACGGCAATAAGAAGACCCAGCCGCTTTCTTGCCACATCTACTCGCTCTCATTAGGCCTAATCTCTTTTTGCTAAAATATTGATTAAACAGGAGATTGGAAGTTATTACCAGGGCCTAATTACAATCTCCATATTGGCAAAGGGAAAATAGATGAGGATATATGGGCCCGTTATCAGCTTTTATCAATTTCAATTGAGTAGCCAAAGTTGTGGAATCCAGTCCTATCAATCTACAGCCTATTCATCATCCATGAATCATTTATTTCGTGATCGATTAAGTGTAATTGTTCACTCACAGCAATTTAGGGGGAGCCAATAAGGAGTCTTAAACAACAGCAACTTCATTTGCTAATGTCTAATTAATGCAATAAACATACCGGTAACAAATGAACACATTCCTTGTGATATTTACTACTCATTTCTTCCAGGGCATCTGGGAGATATGAAACATCTGGGCTTGATTCCTCCAAAGTGCACAACAGATAGGTCATTAAGCCTTGTGGTAAGCTACTTAACTCCTCCTAGCATTGTCAATCTTCCAAATGATTGGTCGTTACCCGAGAGCATCACCTATAGCATTTTTCAGATCCCTAATTTTAAAAATAAATAGGATGGAAAGACCTTTATACAAAGAAACATACCTTCCATTGCTCATTAGTCCTCCATCTCCTCTTTGGAAAGTGACTGTGTTTTGGTTGAAAAAAACAGAACAAACAAACATACACACACACACGCACACACATATAAGACAGGGAAAAATCAATTAGTAATAATTAAAAGTAACAATTCAAACTGCTCAGTGTCTGAGATTGGAGGCCTCTTGGCATCATCACATAATAAAGTACAGAAAATATGAGAAAAGGATCAAACGTGTTAGGGTTACAACTTGTTTAGGATTTCACTGCACCTTATTGACTAACATCGATTTGCCCCGTAACTTGCAAGGCAGACAGCCGCCTGGGTAAAAGGCCTGAATTTACCACAGGTCCCTTTATATGACTTTGCGTGGCAAGGCTGTGCCATGCGATGCAATTGTTTTCTTGGCACGCTTTTGCTTCGGTACATAATGACATTGCACCAGTGAGTTAATAACATCCTGTCGTAATGCAGTAATATAATGTCACCACACAAATATGCCATTTCCTAGGACAAATACGAAGGGGTGGCAGCTCTGTTAGAGCTGAAGGGGTGAAAAAAAGCATACAGCTGCACTGTTTCCATTAGAAGTACAGTATAACGACCAGTATCCACACAGAAACGCAGACACGCCAGTTGCCCTGGGAAGAAAGAGTATTCCAGTCTTGCCATGGGGGATATGCCAAGGATACGTTCAGAGGGAGACATTTGTTTTTATGGTTCCATTCATGGGCGTTTGACAAAAAACAGCCTATCCCTTATCTATCTTATTAACAGGATTACATTTCAGGGCAATATAGGTAAACCCACATTACTGGTGAGATGCTAATTGACAACATTTGACGCTCCTTTTTGAAGAACTGGCAAATAGTTTGAATCAAGGCCAACAGACTACTCTGGTTCTTAGGGCAATATCCCATTATTTATTGTCAGGCACAGATAAGGCAGTCTATTAAATTATATCAATGTCCTGGACATCTGCATCCTTACAGGCCCCTGACAAGATGAGGGTTAGAATTTCAGAGACGAATGGAAGAGCCTGTGGCCCATTTAATTTCAAATAGGCCTTGGTTTGGAAATACTATTTACCTTTGTAAGACAGACATTCCCATCATTAAATTATAGCTTACAGAGTATTTGCAAGATTTTCTAAATATTAGCCCAAACTACAATAATCAAGATTAGGCTTTCTATTACACACCATTCTAATCAGAGAAAATTAATACCCCCATCAGAAATGCTGTGATCATTTAAAAAATTAGCAATGACATAAATCCACTGGGAAAATACTGCTGATACCTTATAGAATCCTTGTCACTTTATTAACTCCTAGGATAATTTCACAGTCTACATTCAGCAAAGGGGATAAAACTGGCCCCTCTGGAAGCCCTGCTGGAAAAGTGCTTGGGTAGGGTGATTGATTACCCTTCACTACAGAACAGACTAATGTCAATATCAGAAAATCACTGCAGTCATACGTCACATCAAAATGGTTAATAGCTGAATTTTGGAAGGATGTAATCAAACCAATTCATGAAAAGAAAATCAAAATGCAAGTATGGGAAGTATTAAAAGTCTGTTTTGAAAAACAAAACACAGTAAAACATTGCAGCTAATTAATTTCAGAGCCAATGCTACTTTCATTCACATTCTTTCTAACAGGCTGTCAAATGACTGTATCACTTCTTCCTCAAAACTGAATAATCTGAAGTGCTGTGGACATCATGTGTGAATATGCAAAGAGGTGGGTACTGCCTGGCTATGTTTCAAAGTATGTTGGTCAAAAGTACATTAGATGCTGTTGCTTTTCTCCTCCTCTCCTTCAAATTTAACACTCCATTTCTCTAACTTTCTGCATTTGTCAAAGCAACAAAAAATAAGGAAAATGAGAAACAAAGGTGCATTCAGTAACAACCTTTATAAATAAAGTTTACAGATTTAAGAGAATTCCAGTAAAACATACTTTCTGAAAACTTCTTGGGATTATGCTATTAACTACCAGAAATAATTTTAAAGTAATATTGTCACCACTTGTATAGCACATACAGGTGTGTGAGATTTTAACTATGCATGTCATATGGAAAAAAAAAAAAATCAATACTTGTAGTCTTTAAAATATTTATATCCCTTGTGTACCCTTATCACGTAAAGATAAAATAGGGTAGCTAGTGGAGACTGCAGCAATGTTTGCCAGACAGATTTTATTTTCTGGGTAGTGAGGTATGGAAAAAACTCCAAGGCATGCTGTGAAAAACATATCAAGAAGACATGACATTGAAACCTCTTTGCTAGAGCCATAATTGCTGCAGATTGGCTGTGGCAGCCGAGCTTGTTGAGAAGAGACAGGTATCACAGTTTTTACCCTTTATACTTCTATCTCTGTATCCTGGTGGTAGTAACTGTTTCCTGGGTTTTTTTCTACATCAAATAATCTTACACCCTCCCAATATAAACACTGAACCTTTTACAAAGAAAGGTTCAGCTTAGCTTGCTAAAAAAAGAACTTGTCTTGCAGTAACATTGCTGTTCCTGGGGAAGATTGTGCTTGGCTCACCTGATGTGTATGGAACTGGGAAGGAATACAGGTTCTTTTGTTTTCCTTCCACCTTGTATACCAATGCATGGGTGGTTATTATCTTCATGAGAAAATAAACAAGAAAGTATTTTAGTTACTATTCTTGGTGGAAGAGGCTCCGGAATATCAACTAAGCTACCCAAAATGCCTCTTGAAGTGTGGACATGTCATCAGGATGTTACAGAAAAAAATCATATTCCTGATGCCATCCATAAATGGGTTACCTGAGGCTGGATAGAGAAGGTGCCTTTCGTTTAGCATCAATATTGTGAAAGGAAAGACAGCTAACAACAGAAGCTATGGTCAGGCTGCCAACACAAGCACTATGTTTATCATTCCTGCCGTACGTTTTGTCAGCATTTTTGCCTGCAGTCTGATTTCTGCAATTACAAAACAAGTCTAAACACCTGAATACGAACATATTTAATGCAATGCAGGCTTGTGGATGTCACTGTAAAAATAAAACACACAGGCAGCTGGCTTTATTCATCCCGTCTCCACTTCAAAAAGAAGCAGAGCAATTTCAAGGGGCAATGTAAGAGGAGGAAGGGAAGGATGTCCCTATCACTGACCCGCCCATCTTCCTTCCTTTTTATCACCGAGGAAGCAAAAAAGCTCTTTCAGCACTCTTTGCATCTGATATATGTTCTTAGAAAGGCTGAAGACCTGCAGGGATGAGATTGGTTTTCAAAAGAAGATGAAAAAATAACCTCTGCATAGAGAGATTTTGAAGGAATCCCCAACTGCTTATACTTCAAGGACTGTAAAAATTCAGAAATATAATCCAAAGTGCATTTCAAATGCATAAATATTTAAGGAAATTATATTGCATATATTTGTATGAAGAACAGCATACGTTAAGGAGGTTTTCACATGCTTTTTCTTAAATATATAAGGAGGTACCCAAACCATTTACTAATATTATCTGACAAGGTTAAACTTAATCTTCATGCCTGCTAGAATTGGAAAATACGGCTGTATAGTAAGTTGACATTCTGAGGCAATAAAGCTTTAGAAATCTTTAGAAAGCCTTCTGTATGCCTATCTCTACTAGGCCACATTTTCCAACTGCAAATGAAAACTTTAATGTTGCCAGCCAAGTCTCATTCCTTTTTCTGATAAGCTGTTCCTCAAATATGAATGTAGATTAATCCTCTTTTAATAAGCATTAACTCAGAACAGATAATCAGCATATGAAAATTCCATCAAATCTTCTGTCTAACTTTGGAAGATTCTGTCAAATAATTTATCCCCATTTAACAATTTCAGGAGTTGCACATAAAATGTGTAGCATTCCATAATTTTCTATTTTTAATTTGGTTTTGTTTACTTATTTTCATGAAATCTTTAATCCCAAGGAGCACTAGTCACTAAATAAGCTCACCTACTCATAAGTGAAAATACGTATTTACTTTATTTGCCTGGCTGATGGTCTAGACACTTGAAAACACCTGGCACAACAACGAGTTTGAGGGCACAGAAAACATACGCAGACAAATGAAATTTCTCTTATTTCTACAAATGGATTCCATGCCTTTGTTGTATAGGTCTTTATACCCAAAGGTGAAAAGAGAATTGCAATTTCCAGTACAAAATAAACAAATTCTTTTCTGTCATTGCAATATGGGAATGGAACAATTCATCTATTATGAGAAGTGGTCACATATCTCTTTTGTGCCATCTATCTTTTCTTGGATCATGTAGAAACCCACAGTCCGTGTTTATATCTAGGCAATCTGAGTAAAAGGTAACCATAAAAATAAAAATAAAAAACAGTGCAGCAGTACTTTAGCTTTTACAGAAACTCACAAAAGTAAGACCAATCCCTTTTATATCTTTTATATCACAGAAAAGATGACTGAAAAGGGGTAACATTTGTATTTAGTGTCTCTGTGCCAGATTTGGTTTTGCTGATAGTATGTCATGGTCCCAAAAATGTATACTTCTTGTACAGCTGCAGATGATGACACTATTACTTACCAGTAGTAATCTAACAAGCATAGTTGAAAATCATATGTTTTGTAGTACTGATATTACTGAGAATCAATGCTTGGTGAGTCATGATGGGGGAAAGGGAAGTGGAGGAATAGTCATGTACAGAATTGTGACTCAGTAACTACTGGAGTCAGTTCAACTGAAAATAAGTAAAAAGATTTAGATATGATTTTCCATGTCACTTTATTTGTGACCATCTGAGCAATTGATCAGTGCTTACGAAAATGTTCACAAAGACAGAAAGCTTAATGAATGTAACTCAATCAATTATTCTTCTCCAGCACAAATCTTTACCAATAGTGTGACATTTGCTCTTCCCCTACACAGAGCATTACAATAGTTTAGTCACACAGCAGAAATTATATTTCTTAGGAGCCTAATGACAGAATACAAATAACAAATCATCCCAGTGAATGACCCACAATCTGAAGATTGCCAGAAAGAACATTTTTAGCAAGTAATTATATAACTGCAGAACCTGGACTTTTCAACAACTATTTTTAGTGTTTTAAGTTCTATGCATGTGCATAACACATATGCAAATACAACTGAAGAAAAATGAAATAAACAACTTTTACATCAGAAATAACTGAAAAAATAGGTTTTTGTTTTGTATCTGAAACAGAGTAAGTACATGAATGTTCCACTAATACATTATATCCTCTTTATTACACAGTCAAATCAGCATGTTCTGCAACTTTCTGAAGGAAGAATTTAAAGCAGATGTATGAATAAAAAGGGTGTGCCTTCTAAAACCTGAGTATATTACAATAAATTAGTCTTTAGTAAAACTGTATTGTCAGCTGCCTCTGATGAGATTCTGAAAGATACATACCACTGTCTAAATATTTAGATCTGAAACCAAACTGTTTATGAATCAAAACTTTGAAGGGAACAACATCCAGTTGTGACTGTTATCAAACCTCCACAAGCATAAGATATGTTTGTCTAAATGATATTGCCAATGACAAATTCAAATCTCAGGGAACTAATGATGTTTCTTAGGGAACTCGGGTATAAAGATAGAAAACATGAACTATGTTCTTTCATAAGAACCACTTTTTTTAAAATTCATGATTTTTTTTTTGGACTTGACTACTGGATGACTTAGGTTCTAAATGCCTCCAGAAAAGATTATAGGCCAGGAAATAGAACTATGTGCTGTTGTAGTTCTATAAAGTCCATTAGATGTCAAAACTATTTTTTAAAAAGCAAATTTTTGGCAGTGCCTCTGACATATCCTAGTTGCCCAGCACACGTGGATCAACTGCACTAAATCATGCACAGTCACTCTGGCTCCTGCACAACCCTGTGTCATGCCAGTGTATGCTATGAAGATGGTGGAAAAAACTCACCACAGTTACAGACAGCTGAGAGTGGCATAATCATAGGAACCAAATGCCATGATGCATTATTTCATTTTGGAAAAAATCCTATGTTTTGTCTCAAAGAAAAGCAATAAAGCATGTAGGATAAGATGTGTTGTGCCACAACTTACACTAACTTGAGCAAACCCGCTTGGAAGCCAGAGGAGCAATTCCTGAGCCCCCAGAACTCCTCCATGAGGACGCGTCTCCCTCACAACGTCACAGGCCCCTGGGGCAGACACCACCGCCTTCGCTCACCTGCCTCAACAGTCATCTGTTCTTTGCTGCTAAACTCAACACTCAGGCTATGGCTGAAGATAAGCAAGAGCGAGAAAGCAGCTAGCTGAGCATGAGGACCAGTTCAGCAGTAGGAAGACTGGCATCTATCACGTGGATGGTAGAGGGGAGAGAAGAAGAGACAGATTTGTAAGTGCAAGTGATGGCCCAAGCTACACACCAAAAACTTTACAGACTTCCGCTGGAAAATGCTGAGATATATCATCCTTTGACACTGTAACATTGAGGTATGATTATTTTTGAGTTTTTGAATCTCGAGCTTAGGTGTGAGAGCAGAAGCTATTTGTATTAATTATTACTATTAATTGCATACTTTATTTTTCCTGGCTATCCATATGTTGACTAAGCTATTTGCAACCTGCTGTTTCAGCCACACTTCGTTTATTCTTCGCATATCTTTAGTCACTCTTACAATAATGGTCTACCGTATGGTATGTTTATTAAAGATAGGAAAATAGGATATCAGCTTTGAATTGGGCAGGCAGAAAAAAAGCAAATGCTTCAATTTCAAAAACACAGTAAAGGCAATGCGTGCATAGGTTAATCGCTAGATTGCTTGAAGATCTGAAGACCTCACAGTAAGGCCAACGTATATGCAACTAACAGCTAAAGTAGAAGAAAGTTCCATTTCTCCAGTTAGATCTTAAAAAATGCTTGACATACTTTTTTTGAGCTTTAAAATCAAAATTTAGTTATATACAACTAATGCTTGTTTATGTTAAGTTAGTTCAAGCATCTTGTCCTGCAAAAACGCATTATTTCCAGGAGTTAGATGAGTAAGAAGTACGCAGAATTATAATGACAGACACATTAATGGTGGTATATTTTATGTACCCCTGGAATCACCAGGAGAATGTATGCTACATTTTTATCACAGATAGGCAGCAGAAGTATTTCTCCTTGTATTTGTTTTTAATTCTGCATATCTCGCACGTTCATAAACACTTAGATAGCTAATGTTTGCAATGACGTGTTGGTGAGGTAAGAGACAGACTAATGGACAGTACCTGCAGGGGTGAAGGTGAAGGACTGAACTGCAAAACAAGAAAGCAAACACATGTGAGTTACACACCCTGATAATAAGTGCTAATTGCAGGGCACGAGGTTCCTCTGTAATTTACTCAGTTGTGGTTGAATATCATAAGCAGGACATAACACTTGAGTTTAAAGCACTAACCAGCCAGCAGCCAATGAGAAATGATGGTTGGAAAGGTGAGCAGTGCATTTGGACAGTCACATTTGAAGACTTTCTGTGTGGACATGCTCTTCTCCAAATTATAAACATTAAGATGAATTTTGAAGTATGATCTGTTATGAACTTTCCTTGCTGAAAGCATACACTGTTTCATAATTCTGATGATTGGGCATCTGTGTCATGATGCAATGTGCACATTACGCTTAGATGCAGCAAACACCATGAGAAGGAATGAGTTGCAGGAGACACGCTGTTTATAATTACTATTATAATTATTTACATCTATGCATTTTAAGGTATAAAAGACTTTGCTCTCCATTCCCTCTCCCGAACATGCCAACTCACATACAGGGCTAATAATTCTGCTTTTTATAAAAAGAGTAGTCTTAGCTTGTGTCCAAAGTTTATGTATAGGACTGTTTCCTAAGAGGAATAACAGTAACAGCTGCCTCTTAATATGAAAAATCTTGGTATCTAGACTGATATTTTAGATAAACACATGTGTAGGTGTGTGTGATATATTAGTTTCTCAATTAACACCACCCCACTTCTCAGACAGTAAATGCCATTGCTGTTAAAAGAAAGAAAAAAACACCTCAGCAAGAAGCATAACCTATGAATGATATAGGCCACATGGTGACGCAAGGTGAGGTTCCACAGAAACCGAGTCAGTCCAAGAGCCACTGAAAGGGCCTCTTCCTCCCTCTGCTTCCACTGCTCATCTGATTTCTTCTTGGGCTGCCTTGTTTCACTAAGCCAGTGGAAAACTAATCCAGCAGGAGGGACTGAAAAGCAACATAGAGTAGTTTCCTTCTGGTGCAGTGAGCCCAGTCAAGGACATTGAGGAGTCTGATGATGGCTAACGCTAAGGTGAGGAGGCATAGGACAGTTTGGTTGTGAGCAGAGAACGCACATAGGTTTTTGGCAAGTTGTTAGAGATGCTCAGCCACTTAGGGAACCATGTCCTCGGGTTCGCATGTGATAACTTGTAAATAGAAGAGTACTAGTGTAACTTTGGTGTGATAAAATGTCAGCATTAAATATGCTGTGTCCTCAACTGTGCAAATCTTGCTCCAAAAGGAAATGTTTTCTCTCTTTAAATGTTAATACGCACTACAAGAGAACCTACCCCAATATTTGAAGAACAGCTTTTTTGTGTTAAATTAGGCTTCATTTTATGGTAATTCACCTCACTACCTAAAAATCCATAAGAATCCTGAAGCACAGAATAATACACAAAACAAACAGGTTGGGGAAGGAAGAAAATATTTTCATTTGACAAATGTATTTATTTTTCCAGATATAGTTTTCAAAAACTAATTTATAACTGGAGCAACACATTTGGTGCAAGAGGGATCACACTGTGAGGGAATTCCAAGCTGTTCTAACTCCAAGACAAAACTTTTTATGACTTCTACCATAGGTAAATTTTGACCACACTTCTCTGTCTAATACATCACTCTCTTCTCCTCTAACTATAGGTATGGAGTCACTGATTAAGTACCTCCATTCATTTGCCATGCACGTAGCTTCAAAGACATGGAAATGTATAGGAATGAAGACGACGAGCAAATACTCTTTCTGACCTTCCCTGTAAGGGTCTAGTCTAATTCACGTTTAAGGACATAAATGGAGCTGGACCACTAACAGAGTGCCTTCTGAGCAAGGAGCAAGAGTTACAATTAATCCTCTTTGTACTTTTTTATGCTAGATGTGCTGGAGATGTAAAAATAAAGACTGTGTTATGATAATGGTGAAGTGTGGTACTGAGCAATGCATTTAAAGCTTCTCATACACCAGCATTTTCACAGCATACATTTAAAACAAGCATACAAAATTCACCCAGGCCACCTTTCCTTTAAGTCCAACATGTTTTTTAAGTAGGTTTAACAGCACCTGTTCTCTTCATGAGAGAATCTGATGAGATGGTAATAAATAGTTACTGTTCTTACCAGCATAATTGCTGAGCCCCTTCCTCTTCTTTCTGCGCCAGTACAGCCAGATGCTGAAACCCATCAGAATGACCCAACATGCACCACCGATGCCAGCTATAAAGGCAGGCTGTTTGACGACATCAGTGATTTGCTCAGTTATGCTGTTGTTATTTTCAGTGATGACAACTTCATTACGACCTCCTGCACAAAAGAAATTTGACAGAATGTTGTTATTATGGATTCTCTAATACAAACAAAAAAAAAGTACTGTAAGTGAAAATTAAAAAAAACAGTAATGCACCTCAGAAGAATCATCCACAGTAGGAGAGCTTTAATGAGTACCAATGCACACCTGAAAACCAATATTTCTAGAAACTAAATCCATAATCTATTGTGATTTTGCAAACATATATTTGAAAAGATAGCTCTATAGCACTCTCCCAAGTAATCTAAGAGATGACAGTCCAGAGCCCCTTTCTTAACAACATACATATTTGTTGGTTTGTTTTTACATAATTATAGACAGAATACAATGATGAGAAAATGGATCATAGGAAACCAATTAAAAAAAAAAATCAAGCGGTCAATAAATAGCTTTTTCCAAATGAGAAATCCAAATACAAAATATGCTACAACATTAAAAGACAGTGCCTTCTCTCAATGTTGTCAGCATGCCAAAAATTCTTACTTAACTCATTTGGTTTTGCTGCATGCTAGAGTTTCCAAATTTAAAATAAAAAATAAAATATATGTATTTTCAACTGGGGCAAAGATGCATTTTCCAGAAATTATTTCATGGGGAAAACAATCCATACAAATCCTAAGTGCACCAGCTTTGACACAAAGCAGAAAATCATGTAGTTAACTGTAAGCTCCAAACAATCACAGCAACAGATGTTATTTTTTTCACCTAGAAGAGGCATGAAAATTCTTAACATCAATCTGTAAGAAATAATTGTGACATGGAATACCAATTAAAGTGACATGCATCAAAAATTACCATATAGGATCTGAAACTGTGTATATTACATTAGAAAACAGTAAATTTCAGTAGATCTCCCATTGTTTTTTTCCCCTTCTTTCTCTAAAAGGGAACTTCTCTAAAAGGAAAAGCTTGGTATCTGTCTTGAAAACAAATGCTCATAAAAAATGTGAATGGAAATTTAGGGAATGCTAAAGCATAAAGGGCCAGCACTTTTCTACTTCAAACCTTCCCTTGTCAAAAATGGTTAGTTCTAAAATTAGGAAATGCGGAACACATTTTTCTGCAAAAAATAGGAATACTGATTAGATGTACGTTTGATATAAACTGCCCACATCTGCAGTTTTGAAATTGGTGAAAGAATTATCCATCATTTCCTGTAAAAGCATTTATATAGCTCAACCCTTGGAATGTGTATGCAGCATGATCAGATGCCTGTACACATGCTGAAGAGCTGCAAGAGTAGCTGCTCTGCTGAGGGAAAAGAGATGCAAATACCACGATTCTCAGTTATGGGAGTCTATCGCACACATGAAAAGGTGGTAGAATATGGCAATAAAATACTGAAATGGTCATTCAGAAGTAATCCTTAAAAGTATCGCAGCATTATGGCTTGCTGTGAAAACGTATGTATTCCTCTCGTGTAATTCAGCAACGGTTGAGTTCACTGCTCAGCGCTTTCACCAGAACGGCCCCCGTGTCAGCGCGCTGGCTTCAGCCTAAAGCAACCAAACAGGGTCGCCGGCTAAAGCAGACGTGAGAAGTCTGACACTTCCAGTTTTATTTCCACCTCTTTGCAGGAGACCCAGGGTGTACGCCAGTCGAGTTGCGAGTGAGGATCCCCGCCGAGGGCCCACCGGGCTGAGCGTGCCTCCCCTGCCCCACCACCCCGGCCCGGAGGCAGCCTCAGGCCCTACGCTGCCCTCAGAGCTGCGCCGAGCGGCTCGGGAAGGGACGCACTGCGCTGCCTTACGTTGCTATCGCACTGTTAATGATCTCGGTGATTTTATTAAGCTTTCCCTCTTTCAGCGCCATGTCAATATTTAGTAATGATGACCGTCTGCTTTTGCAAACAGACTGTTGGAACTGTGCTAGAGCTTGGCTTGCTTTCAGTGGTTCTGCGCAGGAAACAAAACAGGCTTCCCACAAGCAACATAGGTGCCACAGAAGGTGCTGACAGACCGCGCCTGCTAACGCGTAAAAAGGCAGCACGGCAGTACTGGTGACAGGTACTAGTCCATACTGGCCATACTGGTAAAGCTTCACCAGCATCACGGCCTGGTAGCTGTGGCCATCCTGTCCAATGCTTTCCTGTTTTGCCTTGCCGCTGCCAAAGGCCCGGCGGCTTCCCGTCCTGGTGCAGCAAGCGACAGCAGAACTCAGTGAGCACCGGGACGAGGAAAAGAAGGGAGGCAGCGGTGGCTCCCTTGTGGGATTTCCCCCTTTTTTGTCTGCCCGTGGAACGAATCCGTAGGTGCACACCAGTGCTGAAAGAAGAAGCGCTGAGAGTAAAACTAGCAGGAAGAGCCACTCTATGCCATGCCATGCTCTTCCAGGCACAGAATTGATTCTCTGGTAGAAATCAGCATGGGAGTTGATGTTGCTTTAATTGCCTTTAACTTTCAGTTAATTTCTGTGCCCTTTGGAGGAGAGGTAAAGGCAGCGGGACAGTGAGGAAACAGGTAATGTCGGCGCTGCTTCGGAGGCAGCTGTGCTGCCATGGAGAAGGGCAGGCGGGGAAGTGCTTCAGTGACCCCAGCTTCGGGAGCGGACGCTCCTGGACTCAAGAAAAGAACAACTGCTTCCCTCTAAAGCCTCCAAAAAGTCTGAAGATGCCATTTTCTTCTCTAAGGTCAGAAACCAGTCTTTTGAGGATGAAGGATGTTAGAGCTAATTGCAGAGAGCCTGAGGAGAGCTTTCAGTGGACTTTACGCTCTCCCTCTCTTCTACAGGAAGGTGCGATCTGTCTCCAAACCACCTTCTAAAGTTTGCAGTCTGGTTGTTTGCTCTTACCCTTCAATGCCCAGCAATTACAATTGCAAAAGTAATAATTCATTTAAATGTCAGAATAACATATGCTTTGTGAATTCACCGACTGGAAAATAAATGGATACAGACGAATATTACCCACTGACGTTTGATAAAATTAATACGATCGTTGGGGTTTGGGGAAACAAACAGCATTAATTTTGTATTTCTTTATATAATATTTAAGCAGAAGTACTAAATATGTCATCTAAGGTACCAGTGTACTATTTCATATACTGCAGGTGTTTCTGTAACAATGCTGTCAGTTCAACTAATTAGAACATAGACAAGGGAAGTGTGCGACCTGTAACGCTCCATTGTTCCTGAAGACAAAAACATAATGAAATATAATGTCTTCCTCCCATTGGAGAGTAATGAAGAACAAAACTAATTTGTCGGACCAAAAATTAATTAGACACATCAGATTCGATTGTACCTATTACTGTGAAAGTTTGCAGCTGTTCCTCATATTATTATGCCAATGATGGAATGTAAGAGTGAATAGGCCAACTGATGAACAGAAATTATAGCTATACCATTAACCAACATTGCCGTTATCTCCAATTTTATTTCTGGTTTCCCGAGTGAAATTTTTTGGCATATCAATAGTGATCATAAAAATTTTATTCTTGATTCTCTTTGAATCTTCCATAAAATTTTTCAACATCCTGCCTGAACTATGGGCACAGGATTCCTGTAATGGTGACACATTTTCTAACTAAAGAAATAATATACCTCCTACTGCTCAATATTGTCCTGGCTTTACTTTTTGGATTGTCATGGTTCTATTATCTAGAATTGGTCTGGGAAGTCAGTAGTTGATGATCCACCATGAAAATCAGTTATTTCAGAAAAAATTCTGGTAAGAACATATCCTATATTTAAGAACATCTTCTTTCTTTTTATACACTGGACTCTGTATTTCATGACAATGAAAGTCATACTGTTTAGCAACATGGCTTAACTCTTCTGCATCACTGACCTGCTCTCTCCATAATTCAGCATTTCTGCAGTTGTTTATTCTGTTTGCAAGCTGTTAAATAGTATAGCTAAGCACCAGGCCACATAGGACTCCATTATAATACAATCACTCAATAATGTTTTCCCATTCATGATGATGTTTTGAGGTTTATTCATTAGCTCATTTTTAATCCATGTAATTTTTTTTTTTTAATTTACCTAAAACCCTCATTTTCTTATTTTATGTTCTTGGTTCTCAGTCAAACATTGAGTGGTACTAACTCAAATTTTCCAGAAATGGTATAATTTCAACACTGTTACCTTCTTCAAGCAAATTTATAGCCTGAGAAATAACTGCCAGCAACTCATAAGCAATAGAAAAACAGGACCTAATGAAAACGGAGATACAGACCACACAAATAATAAGCCCATCCAGCTTTGGGCTCCCAAAAGAGAAAACAGAAATGAGAGCAGAAACACAACCCAAACAGAAAAGACTCTTCAAAAAGGACTCTTAAATGTGCAAAGGGACTGTTGCAAATGTGCAAAGATGCCACCAGACAGACTTGTTGAAGCAGACATTCTAGGATCATTTAAGGAATAAATAAATATCACTAAGTTTAATGGTGCAAAATTAAGTCTCTAAATGCTAAGTAACTTTTTTGTTTTCCTACTTTATTTGCATCCTAACATCCCTTTCCTTCTTCCTGCAACAACACAGATCTCTCCACATTTAACTCTTGCTCATACTATTAATTTTTTTTGTAAGGAAAAAGTCAAGATGGAGGGCTGCAGCCAGACGTGGGGCTGACCATTCTGGTTGAATCACCCAGCAAAGCACTCTGGTGCAAGTTTAATTCACAACACGTTAAGTGACACACGGCTACTCATGTGCTTAAAATGCAACACACTTAAATGTTTTGCTGGAACAAGCTCTAGTGCCTAGCTAGATGGACTCTATAGTGAAAAAAGAAAAAGAAGTCCTGCTCAAAGCGAACACAATGACAGACTAGTCTTACAACATGAGTTATTTATACAAAGGTCCAAAATTCATGCCTATTAGATGACAAGTTTCTTGCATTTTCAAAAATCAATTTCTTGCTTTCCTTTCTAGAAAACTTTTTTCTCCTCTTTTCTTTGGCATTTCTGTGGCTGCCTTTTTCTAAAACCAGTGCTAGCACCACCTCCCCTCTTTCCTTCTCCAGGGAAAATATATTAAAAACTGATGTACCCCTATTTCTGTTTTGATGCATAGAGAATCTGAATATCATTAAACATTTAAGCAATAGTTAGGGGACGACCTTTTCTAAAGGTGTACACAGAACAGAATAGGCCACGTTTGGGACGTTGTATTGACAACATTTTCTAGAAAGAAAATATTTAATAACAACAAAAGACCCACAAACAAACAAAAGCCCATTTAAGTAATAACTAAATTAGATATTACAGATCAAAGCAACAAAATGCTTGTATTGCATATTCAAAAGAGTTGCTGCTCTGCACAGCTCAATTCAGTTTTGCTAAATATGGTTACTTCTCCTATTCTTACCTCTCCCATATTGTGCCTGCTTTTATATTTCATACTTGAGAAGAATTTCAGAAGAAACAGAATCTGTGTTTCCCTCAGGTCAGGAAATTAATTCGGCATGGAAACCACTACTAAGAAACAGTCATTTCAAAGGCAGGGATGTTAATACTACCTTTGCTCTCTATTTGGACTAGAGGCCACTTAATCTTTGACAAGAGGAAGCTCATCTGCTTGGGGTACCTGAGAAACACTGACTTCAAATGTTCAGAAAACCAAGTGTAAATAGTGCCTTAGGCACCAACGGTAGGAGTAAGGCAATATTAGAGTCATCTGAACAGGAGGAAAAGGGAGCTTGAGCTGTTAGTTCCATAAATATGTCAACCTGCAGAAGTGGTAAATTAATTTAAAAAAATATTAAATCAGTTTCACTAGATAATCTGCATTTTCTCATATGTCTCGGGAACACATTTCCCTCCATTGGCTGCAAGAACTCTGCACAAAGAGAAGACACAACGTTAGCAGGCAGTGGGACGTTAAAAGTTAACTAACTAGCTCTGTTCAAATCTCGTCTTTTGCTCCATGGATTTTTATGCTTCCAGCAGTGATTTATGAAAGCATTTCTGAAAGTCAAAACAGGCAAAACAAAACAACAAAACAGACAATCACTTACCAATTATTATGGGTTGTGGCTCACTTTTTACTCCCACACCTGCACTGGTGCTTGCAGCAACTTCCACGCGGTACTGAATACCTGGATATAGGCCACCTATTACTACAGACCGAATGGCTGCATCTACTGTTTTGTTGATATGAAATCGAGTCTCATTACCTAGGCACCAGATCTGGGACAAAAGTTGAGGTGTTAAAAAATACGAAATTCTTCATACTCATACACAATTGCACACAGATATGATGTACTGCATGATAATCACTATTTTGGACTTCTAAACAATGTTATTGTCCAGGAGTAACTGGAATCGGGATGATTTAGCTCAGGAAGCTCTCCCAGATTAGCACAGAGCCAAGTGTGCTATACATTAACTAAAATCTTATTCAGTAATGTTATTACCACTAAAACTTTCCTAAAAAAAACCAACTTTTTTTTCATTCTTGATTTCCCACTCAATAGCAAAAGGACACCAAATAATACAAGCACAGGTTGAAACACTTCTTAAAGTACTAAAGAAGAAACAATTTTCAAAATTATTTTCAACTTCCTTTCACTGTACAACAGGGATATGTGAAATTTCTGAAATTGAATAAGTACAAACTCACTTTTTAGTGCTGCTTTTGTGATTACTTATTGTAACATTATTCAGGAATCCAGGTATCAATTCCTGACTTAATTACTCCCTAATTAAACAGAAAAAACACTCTGTAATCTCAATTGGCATTTGGTGATGAGAATGGTCTATTATTTCAATGTTATGTGTCTCTCTTGCATTTTTTCTGCTGGCTTTTCCCAAAAAGTTTTAAAACTAAGACCTTTTAGGCATTCTTCTTCGGTTAATGTTATCTGCATATACTGCTTCTGTACTATTAAAGAAAGCATTTTCCACCACTCAGGAAAATCAATGCATAAAGATATCACATGTACACTACATAATTATAATAGCAGAAGAAAACACTATTGATGGAACCACTATCAGCAAACAACTGATGTGTCTAAGCAACAGCAATGCTCTCTTTAGCCTTATTTTTGACCCTGCTCTGTGTTTTATAACAGCTTATCTTTTTTCTGTTAAACACTGAGGAAGATTTGGAGGGCAAAAGAAACCCTTGTTCATATAAGCTCAAGTAGTCTTATTTGCAGGCCAGAATGCATTTAAGGGGGCAAAACTATTGCGTTCATTTTTTCACTCCTTGTCTGTCCTGGTCTTAGGTTATGGCAGCTAGGAGATGTCACAATGAAATGCATTTAATTAATAAGTGAAATTACAAGCATTCTGATGCTTGAAGTGGAATCAACAGATCTACATTCAATTTGTTAGAAAATGTATTGTGAAACCTCAGCAGTCATTTTATACTCAAGGATGTATTAGGCACTTTGTACTGCATTCACTGTAGCCAGCTCACTCATCAGGCAGCCACCTAATCTAACACAGAAGGGATGTAATAGGTAGCGACTCCAGCTGTTTTTATAAACAGCCTAGAGGTCTGAGCACTCACCTGGAACATGGCTTTTATTAACCATCAGTCCACTTTGTTTCATACCTACATATTTTGTGGTTTAGGAGTGTGCTTTACTTCTTTGCCTATAAGTCCTTGTTGGTTAATATTGACTTATACTGGAGTCAGTATCAAGATTAATTAAGCCAAAAGATAATTATTAATTGATATGAAAATGAGATCAATAAAATACTGAGATTAATAAATCTTGATATTGACTAAAAGCAAAACAAAAGAAGTGCTATGCTAAACATAAATATTGTGAGCATTTACTGCATCCCTCTGACCAAGCAATAAGCTGGAAGAGGTTGAACAATAAGTTGATTTAAAAGTCAAGCACTTTCCCTTTTCTTGATGCTGTGTTCCCTCAAGATACAGCAGGGGAAAAAAATTACATCTTCTTCTGTGAAATAATCTGCATGCACCACTTCCATCCTTTGTGGGACTGTCAAGAAAGCTGCCCTGCTCTATTTCAAATTTAAAATTTCACACTAGGTATACAAACCAGCCACAGCAAAGTTATTTAACAAACGGTGTGTTCCATAGTCAGAAACCTGTGACAATGCTGAACCCTGCCTGTTCATTTTCTCCATGGTCCTCCACCCCGATAACACACTGCACTCTTCCCATGTTGTGAAAATATACTCGTACAAAAGTGAGCTTAGTGTGGAATTATAGACTACAAAAAAATTTAAGATGATATATAAGGAGTGGATACTTTGAGCCATGGCAGCAACAAAGAAGGAGAAAATACACCCAATGGAGGCAACTCTTATATAATGAACTCTGGATACAGGAGTGGTGTTCAACCTGTTCCTCGGAGCAAGCAACCTAAGACTGTAAATTGTGAATCTTGACAGAGATAGTGTTCGGAAGTATTCTCCTAGAGCCACAGTCCTTGACTTTAACCTTGAAGTGTTAGGATTAACGTTTTTGCAGGAGAAAGAAGAGGTATCTTTCCTGCCAGCTTTTCTGCTAGATTGAAGGCACTCTAAGACAGGGACTTCACTGCCTGTCTTGAGAGTGCAGAGGCACTTAACAATAAACCCCCTTCTTTTCACTCCACGGCAGGGAAAAGCAAGAAAGAGAAGCACTGTGAACTACCTGGTAATTACAGCTCTCTCTGAGATCTAGCTCACTGTATTTTTGCTTTTTATATAACAGTAGTACTGCTTTAAAAAAATTTAAAAAATCCATAAGCAGTCAGTCCTCTTTCTCCATATAATTATATGGGCAGCTGTAAATGTTGTCAGAATCTAATCCGTAAACAGCACTACTGTTCTGTAATTCAAGCAGGCTGTTTCCTTAAACACACAAGCCTCCCATTAGACATGGTTTCTACCTTATACTCCTGGATGACTCCATTTTGGTGATCTGGAGGAGGAGGATCCCAGGAGATGCTGATGCTTGTGCTGTTGTGGTTTCCAACTGTCAGGACAGTAACGGACTGAGGAGGGGCACTTGGAGCTACACCAAAGAGAGGCAACAAACAGAAGCAAGACATTAATCCATTTGCTAGAGCACGAATTTTGCTGAAACAGTGCAAGAGCAAGCAGACAGCATACACAGTTCACACTCCCTGCAGGCCTAGGTATGCACATTTTGTTAGGCACTGACAATTTTGAAAAATGCCTTTCTGAAGAGAAGCATAGCGCTGAATGACAATGTGGAATTTGTGGCAATGGAGAATCAATACAAATCACTTCATTTATTTATATTTAGCATTTCTTAAGTTCACATTGGACTTACTCTCACGCTTGCATTTGTCTTCCATAATATGCATGCATAGCTATGGATTTATCAACTAAGTCATAATGTGAGGCTACTTCACCTGGCCTGA